ATTGCGGTTCCCAACAGAACATGGGATTGAAGAAGTCAGAGGGGATCAACTGCAGACAGAGAACTACTCCATGGCAGCAATGAAATCCACCTGCAGCATACGAGAACCAGAGAGGGCAGAGATCGAAGACGAGGACATGGAGGTCCTAGAGGACGTCGACAAGGAGCCAACCAAGAAGAGTGAAGAAGCATTGAAGAAAATCCTCGTCCAGCAGGGAGACGAAGAACGCTTTTTCCTTCTCGGCTCGGGCTTAGCTGAAGAAGAGGAAAAAGAACTGGAGGCTTTCTTGAGAGCAAACATTGAAGTGTTTGCCTGGACACCCTACGAAATGCCAGGCATTGACCCCGAGGTCACTTGCCATAAACTGAACGTAGATAGGTCAGCCAAACTTGTAATCCAACGAGCAAGAAGACCGACATTGATGCACGTTGAAGCAGTGGAAGAGGAAGTAGACAGGTTTCTAGAAGCCAAATCAATTCGAGAGGTAGATTACCCGACATGGCTATCAAATACAATGGTAGTAAAGAAAAAGAACGGTAAATGAAGGGTCTGCATGGACTTTACCAGCCTAAACAAGGCCTATCCCAAAGACAGTTTTTCTTTACCCAAGATCGACCAACTGGTGGATGCCACTTCAGGGCATGGAAGGATGAACTTCCTAGATGCCTATAGGGGATACCATCAGATAGCCATGTACCCCCCAGATGAAGAGAAGACTGCGTTTATCACCCCAAAAGGGCTGTATTGCTACCGAGTGATGCCTTTTGGGTTGAAAAATGCAGGAGCAACTTACCAGAGATTGGTAACCAAGATGTTCAGGCACCTGATTGGCCGAACAGTGGAAGTTTATACCGATGATATGGTCGTGAAGACTAAGGAACCTGAAGGTCATTGGCCGACCTAAAAGAAGTTTTTGATATCCTTAAAACATATCGGCTCCGACTCAATGCGTCAAAGTGTGCATTTGGAGTCAGATCTAGTAAGTTCTTGGGATACCTGGTTACCAGAAGGGGCATTGAGGCTAGCCCAGATCAGATCAAGGCCATCCTAGAGTTGAAGAGCTCGACGTCGGCAAAATAGGTGTAGATATTGACTGGAAGGGCTGCAGCCTTGAATAGGTTCATAAGCAGAAGCTCAGACAAGTGCAAACCTTTCTTCAATTTAGTGAAGAAAGACACAGACTTCTTATGGACCGAAGAGTGCGAAGCCGCTTTGGCCGATTTGAAGAAGTATTTGACAACAGCTCTAGTTCTTTCAAATCCAGAACCTAGAGAGGAACTATTCCTGTACTTGGTAGTTGCGGAACATGCGGTAAGCGCAGTGGTAATTCGAGAAGAAAAAGGGGAACAAAGGGCTGTTTATTACGTGAGCAAAACCCTGGCCGACACAGAAACCAGGTACTTACCCCTAGAGAAGTTAACGCTGACTTTAGTAATGGCTTCAAAGAAGCTGAACCATTACTTTCAAGCCCATAAATTTGTGGTGCTAACTGAACACCCTTTGAAGTCCCTGTTGCAGCAAGGAGATCTGACAGGCAGAATAGCCAGATGGGCAGTGGCCTTGGGCCAGTATGACTTGGAGTTCAGACCAAGAACAGCAATCAAAGGCCAAGTTCTGGCCGACTTTGTGGCCGAGTTCACGCTAGAGTCTATCGTACATCGGACTTCGTTGAG